GTCAATTGCTACTCAAAATTGGTCAATTCAACAAGGCCGAAGAATTATATACAGCACTACTAGAACAGACACCCAACGACAGTGATAAAGCACATATCTATTATATGCTTGGAATGATGAAAAATGACAAAGGGCAATATACAGAAGCAGTTTCATTTCATGAAATGTCTCTCAAAATTGAACGAAAAACTCTCCCGGAAGATCATCCTTCATTGGGTCCTACCTACAACAACATTGCTCTAGTGTATAATAACATGGGTGACTACTCGAAAGCACTTGAATTTTACGAAAAAGATCTCGAAATCACGAAAAAAGCTCTGCCTTCGAATCATCCCGATTTGGCTACTTCCTACAACAACATCGGTGGAGTCTATGTCGACATGGGTGACTACTCGAAAGCACTTGAATTTTACGAAAAAGCACATATAATAAAAGTAAAAGCTCTGCCTTCGAATCATCCCAAATTGGCTACTTCCTACAACAACATCGGTGAAGTGTATAACAACATGGGTGACTACTCGACAGCACTTAAATTTTACGAAAAATCACTTAAAATAAGAGAAAAAGCTCTCCCTTCGAATCATCCCGATTTGGCTCAATCCTACAACAATATCGGTCAAGTGTATAACAACATGGGTGACTACTCGAAAGCACTCTCATTCTTAGAAAAGGCACTTCCTATCTTGCAAAAATCACTTCCACCTAACCATCGTTATATTATAATGGTCACAAATTCAATTGACAATGTAAAAAAGAAAATGTAACTGTAATTTTTTCTTTTCGTTTGCTCAATAAATTTATTCACATTGCTAATCATTTCGATTTTTCTCGGTTCATTTTGACTTACCCGCGCGCGCGCGACAAGGGAGAGATTCCTTGTCAATGCCATAGGTACTACAGGCGGACCACGCCGGACTGGTAGGGCAATGGCCGAAGGTATGCCGTATGAACGGTAGGGACCAACGACACATAGAGGCCTTCCCTAGTGCTACACTGCTTCGCTATGGCAAAATTCCTCTACCTATTGAATCAGACAACGTAGCTATCTGATCCACATTGATGACTCAACTCAACTCATCTCAAATAAACTCATACTCATACTCACAATAACTGATAGTATTTACTTTTTCTCAAAATAACTTATCTCAACTCAACTCAACTGAATATGTAAAAAAATTTTTGTTTCTCACTTCTCAATATTGTATAATATCGAAACTCATCTAAAAAAAAAGAAAAAAAAGCATTATTGAATATATAATGAATTTATTATTTACCTCATATAGAATTTAATAATATCATTATCATTTTAAATAATATCATAATAATAATAAGCCCGGGTATATAAATACATTGTAATGCATTATAATAATACAACTCGAGTGTATGATTTCATAATGATGTATGCATGTTTTTATATACTCTGAGAATTAATTGACCGATGTTCAAAATTTTGATTGATTTTTTATCAATCATTCCACTTCTGTTTTAATTGATTTGATGATTTTTTTTTCTCGTCTGACATACATCTATATCATGTCATCGTCGACGAAAAAAAATTTTCATGATACATATATATAGGGTGTTGTCTTTCTCTTTCACATTGCTCGTCTTCAAATAAGAATACAAGACAAGAGAATTCATCAACTCGAGTAACTTAAAAAATAGGTGTGTTTTGTTTTTACAGAATGTGATCTTTATTTTAAGAATGTCTGAAATATATATATGTCTAAATTATATAGAATAAGATAGTGTTTGTCTCTCTACTGAACAATATATTTTTTATTGGACATCTTCATTATCTTCAATATATATGTATTTGATAAATTTCTGAGAAATTTTTGCGTAAACTTTTTTCACGTATATTTTTTCGACTTTTCTTTAAAGAAATGTTAGTTGTACAAAAATTGAAATTTCTACACATTTAAGATTGATGAATTTCTTTCATTTCAAGTGATTTTCATTAGAATATAGTGCTTCTCAGGATTTATCTAATTTTCGTCCAAAATGTATCAACTTGTACATAACAAACTATGAATGATGTGTATTCACTTATGTTGTCATATTCATCGATATAGCAATGAATATATAAACAGCTATGAATTCATCTCAAAATAGTCTCCTGATGATAGACTATATCATATTTGTACTATTTAAATTTTCAAGATTTATCGATGAAAATAAAATTCATCATTATAAACATTTTGAACAAACAACTGTAATGTAAAAGGAATATTATTTCTAGATTTTTATACGAAACTGTATATCAGACAAAGTATTAGTACAAAAAAGAGGCATTTTTCGTTTAGATATAATGAATGTTATTGCCTTTACATGTTCCACTTAATTGAATTATAAATGAGTATTTTGACATTGTAGAAATGAAAGTGGTAACTGTTTTTAGTTACCTGACAAAGTACTCTCTATGAAGTAATGTCATTTAATTAGAATGAAATGAAGTATTTTCTAAGAGAGACAATAATGATAGCAGTAGAGCATTTAATGAATGTCTTCATGTATTTCTCATTATATTTCTCTAGTATAAAAATTATTCGACAGATATAACAATTTCATTTTGTTTTCAGTGTAGATATTTAAGTTTTTATAAAAATTCGATGTTGGTTTTTTATTAGAAAATGATTAAACTATAGTGGCTTGAGAAATTGTATATTTTGTTTTTATTCACATCTCCCATCGTACAGTTGTTGGTGTATTCTGTATTTCGATTATAGGTGTAGAATGAGGTGTTACACTAAAAAGAAAAAGAAAACATGCTGAATAACTTATTGGAATATTTTCTCGTTAAGGATAAATACATATTCTGACGAATATTCGTTTTCTATGATTTTCTAAAGATAATTCATATTTTTATCGAGTATTTGTGAGATATAGAGTTTTATTGTGAGTTCATTGAAAAACATCTCAGAATTTTCATAAATAAAATTATGTATAGATTAATTATTTGAGTCTATAAAAGAAATCTCAGTAGTAATAATAAATAAATTAATGAATCACATTTTGTTTTCTCATTAGACATATATACATGGTTTTTTGTTACACTTGAAAGTATAAGTGAATCTATGAGACATAGAAGAGATTTAAAGAAAATTGCAAACCTCTTTCGAGTAAATGATATCGTCCTTATAATTTTTATGAGAAATTTCTACTAATAAAAAGGCTTTTAATAAAAGATTTTTTGTAAAGTTAAACAACGAGTCTTTTGGTAACATCCACAAATAGACGAATTCTTTATCAGTATTTCAGTGAATGTTGTTTTAATATTAATCTCTTTATATATCTTGTTGAATCTGACACTACACTGCTGTTCTTCAACATGAATATAGACAATTTATTAGTAAGAAAAATATCAGTTTGAATAAAAGATTCTAGTTGTTTTGCTTTTTACTTATGAAATAGGAACAATGCTTGACCTTTTTAATGTTAGAAAAGAATAATTGAGAAAGTTCGTTTACAGGAAAAAATACATTTCGATTAGAGATTTTAAACTTGTAATTTTTGTATAATTATGACCTGATAAATACTGTTGAAAATTGTGCGTGTAAATTTTTTTTTGAGAATGAATCGAATGAATCATTTATTGCTTTTGCTCGAAAGCAATCTTTTTACTTTTCTTCTTTATCTATATTTTGTTTTATTTAATATTTAATTGTAATACAGAAGATAACAGAGGAGTGTGAATCTGATGAGCTCTTCTTGTTAGCTCATACCTAAATGCTTTAAGGATTTAGTAGATGCGTTCATTGAATATTAAAAGATTTATCTCATTGAATTAGTTTTCTTAATTAGAATTTTTTTTTTACTTTTCTACTAATATTTTTGTTTATCAATGAGAATTTTGATAAAAATTAATAGACGAATCAATTGGATACATTAAATTTGTATCAATTAATATTATACGGTTTTTACCATTTATATAAGCCGAATCAATAGTAAAAAAAAATAAAGATAGTGATTAGGAAGATGATATAAAAATTCAATTATGTATTATAGAAAGTTTTTACGGAAGAATAATTTTAATTTAGACATTTATATGTACTGATCTGTTATAAACTTCTCTTTTTGTATAGCTTATATTGTACACATTTTTCTCTGACGAAAATCACACAACTCATTTAATAATAAAATTCAATACTGTTATTTTTGTTTTTTTTCTACTGTATAACAATTATATTTTGATTTACGTAATCTAACATATGAACACAAATGATGTTGTTGAACATAGAAATCAAGTTCAACATGCTCTTGAAATAAGTGTTTACGGAGATTATTGATATTGAAGTGAGGAACGTATTTATACGTTCAATCTCACTCACTCATTATTCCTAAAAACACTCAACATTTTCATGGATCACATATTAATGTCATAAGTGTATAGAGTGTTTATGATATAAGTGCTAGAATAATGCATCAAAGGTATGAGATTCCTTCGAAACACTTCGAAAAAGACAAATTTCCAAATGATAAATCAATTATAAAAATAGCTAAGAATTCATTCGAAAGGTTTTTGTTCCATAAAAGTCAAAAATAAATATATTGATAACTATTCTTATATGACATTGAAAATAATTCATCATTTTACATCATTGAAAAAACTATTTTTTGTTTCATCGAAATAGTTTCGTTATTGATCTGAATTAGATTTACTTCAATAAAAAATATAGTAATGTGTTGAAACTTTTTCAAATTCATATTACATATAGTTAGTTTCTGAAGAAATACCGATCAATTCCATCTTAATTTTCTACAATGAGAAAATATTTTTCGATTTTATCTTCTAATATTATTTATTGAAACATTTTCGAATAGAAACAATAGGACATTCTAGATTGTTTTTTCTTTGTAATCGATTTGGACGGTGCTAGGACAATTCGTCGCAATGACATAATCCAATTATAACTTATCATTATTTTTTCATAAATGAATTGACCTATTAAGATAAGTTAGAAACACATGATTCAATGAGTATGACAATTGCAGAGACTATCTTTAATGACTAAACTTTGAATTTTTATTTCGGTTTGTATTGTCATAAGAAATTCTGGTTTGATAAAAAGAATCTGATCTATTTTCTGCATCACGACTAATACTGATGAAATGAAAAAACCTCAAACGTGAGAAATTATCAAAACTAGTGTTAACACTGTATAAATCATCGTTGAATTCAAACTACTGCCCATTTCAAAATAAAAGGCGGGTGGGTATTTTTTGAATATCTTTCGATAGAAATAAGATAGAGAGCTGCGGCTTTCACCATTGGAAAGAGGCTTTTCCAGCACATCGTTCCATATAAAATTGTTGAGGTTTACCTCAATTGTAGGTGGTAATCCATAGTCATCTTTGAAGAGTACATTATTGCTCTGTGGCGACACAACGAATTTTAAACTTTGAAGAGTGTTCTAGAATCGCCAGCTCAAGCGCTACAAGTCTACGAAAAGCCGAAACTTTTATCTCATTTCGCTCAAAAGTTATGAGTCAAACACGAACGGCATTTGATCGATTTTTTTACCAATCTGAATGTGCGTAAAATGTTTTTCTGACTATTTTTAATGATGTTTTCGATTATGCTGAATCATTAGGAACATATACTTTGCTACACAGTAACTCTTTTTCTATTAAAACATTATAAAGAGTCGTTGTCAATACTGTTTTGATGTGCTACCACACTGTTTACTTCGAATATATGCACCATTTTCACAATTACTTATAAACACAAACAGAATACCTTAGGTTTTATTCTTTTAATCAGGATTGAAAGAAGGACAATAAGTGAAAACATATCGTTAATCGTCCATCTCTTCTTCCGACGAATCAGTATCTTCTTCTTCATCTATTAGCTATTCTTCGATTTCTTCAATAAATCTATCAGACTTCTTGAACATGTTCTCAATCTTCTGTGTTTCGTTAATGTATCCCATAGCAGTTACTTTACTCAAAGATAACATCCACTGATGCGCTAAATGTCGAACGTCTTTGAGACTAAAATTGACATTATTGTCACGCACATAGTTCTTCAAGCCGGCCCATGCTAATTCAATTGCATTAAGCATGCAATGTTTCACCGGCAACCTATAGAGATAGGTTCAGGAATGTGAAAAGTAAATCAAATCTGTTTAACATACCGTAAAATCTCGACATCATATTCGCTGACAACCTCATCAACCACATATTGTTTTGGTGGTAAGTTTTCGAAAGCGAGAACCAACAGTTCGGCTTTAGTAGCTTTCACAGGAACTGATATATTATGATTGATTAACCACTGGATTATAAGCTCTTTTCGCCATGCTCTTTTTGGAGGAATAGTTTCTTCGGTCAGCTGGTTATGCCAAGTAGCATTATCAATAGTTAAAGCAATCTTAGCATGTCGACCTAAACATATCAACGATGATGTTCATGATAAAAAATTAGAAATCATATTACCAAATTCTTTTCTCAAAATTGAGCTTGTTCGATTGATCCAGCTCAGAAAGTGTTGCGAATTCATAGTATGATTTTCGTCACACTCGAACATATCAATTGTTTCCTTATGAAAGCCTGACTCACTTAGAAGAGCAGAAATCGCCAACCGTTTTCCTATAGTTATAAATGGTGTTCATTTAAGATAACATAAAAATAATGAATACCTTTATTCTGCCTATCTCGCATTCATCCTTTGCCAGTCATTCTATCTGTCCAGACAAAACGCTTCTCTTCATTTTGATTGGCCCATGTTTCATCGTACCAGAATATCTTAGGACCAGTACTGCGTAGCTCATCAAGACTAGCAAAATAGCGCGCACGCGCTGCCATAAATGTGAGAGTATCAAGTGGCACTTTGACTTTTGATGTTCTTTGATATTTAAAACCGATCTTTCTCATCCAACGCCATAATGTCGTTGACGATTGGACAGGAAAATCAGCATCTGTACTTCGAATTCGAATAAGAACTTTGGCAACAGAGGGATAGATTCGCTCAGCCAGGAGAGAATGCATATGAAATCTAAATAATGATTATCTCAATATTATTTTTCGGCTACTTTCGATTTAAATAACCTCACCTGATGGTTTCCTGCTGTTCTTCTGCTAAGATGGTTAGTGGACGACCAGCATTTGACAATTTACGCGGTGAACAAGGTACAGGATCACCGATTGAATTGGCGTTCATGTTTGTGTTTGTGGTGTGTTGGAAAAGATAGATGGTTTTCCGATTGATTATATTTAATTTGATTCAATAGAGATAATTTTTGTGCGCGTCGAATGAAATTGCTAACAGTAAAATTGACTATGGTGGAGAAAGAACCACTTAGCGATCGTGCATCTCTGAAGATCGATTCACATGGTTTAGAATTGAACAAATGTATATTAATCAGTGCTTGTTTTGGCAAATGTTGTTGTTTTACCAAAAGCATCAAATAAAGCAGATTGTGTGCATTCAATTCAATAGACAAATATGCAGGTTTTGAAATAAAGCATTTATTTACGTTATTGGTCTTTTCAGTTGTTGCTTTACTTCTTGATGAACTGGAAAATGAATTAATTTTTAACCATGACCACCATATGCGACAAACGAACACGACACACCATGCTAATTGTACACCTAAATGTATAGAAGTGTTTTTGAGATTAATAAGTTTAGATTTATAATTTTTAAAGATCCAAAATAAACTTACGTTCACGAACGGATGTTGATTTATCAATATAAGCTTTCACTATCATTTTTAATAAAGTTAAGTATACAACGGTTCCATTCGTGTCCACACCATTAATCAAAAGGTTTATCACGTCATCTGATATTAGTTTAATGCAGGAGTTGTAGTTCTGGCGATCTTTTGGATTAATGTCGCTGCTTGTGAGACCATGATCCAGTTTTGTATAATGATCGTTACTAATCAATGCTTCAATATGTGTTATAGTGATTTTGTCTGTTCCAAAACGTAAATCAGTTGTTGTTGACAATAATCGATTTCTCCATTTTGTTACAAGATGGACTGGATCTTGAAAAAACAAGAATAACTGGTTATTTCGAAGGAAAAACCATTTCCAATGTGTTGGTACATTAATTTTGAATGCATGCTGATGCTTATCGAATTGTAAATCGGATAATGATGCAAAAAAACCACTTGCAAGACGCATAGCACTTACATATCTTCTGTCGGCATCTATTTACAAATTAAAACAACATTTTAGTTAGCATAAACGTCTTAAAATTTACCTGTAGAAAATCCAATAATACGGACATTTTGATCCAAACAATGTTGAAAAATATACATCCATCGATTTAATACATTTATTGCAGTAATTTTATTGTCAACACCGTACGCTGATAATAACAATGGTCTTGGAATACGTGTTGCATTATCTTCAGTTGGTATACTTTGAAACATGTGCACATTTAACAATGATGCTATTTCATTCGTTTCATAAATTGTCCTCAATTCATTAAACGTATTAGGCTGATAGAATTTTGGTAATGGAATTCCATGATCAATTGGAGTCACAAACCCGACGAAAGAATTTGTTTTTGAGTCATATTCAACTTTACGAATGATTCCTGTGGTGTCTTCAGAGCAAAAACCAAACTGTGAATGGCATTGTCGAAGAGATTCAAAGTTAAATTCTGCTTCACTAAAGGCAGTGTCTGAGTTTTTAATTAATTCACCAAGTGTTGTTAAATTAGGAATAGAACCATAAAGATTTAAACGAATAAATTCATAGGTTTGTTTGCCACCAAGAACATATAAGCATATGGCAAAATTTTTAATTGATTCACTATGTCTAAAGTTATTCGGGGATTGTGTACAGTTGTTTATTAGGTTGTCTATAAATGATACTAAAAATTGATTTGTTTGTTTAACACCATTTAAATCATTTAATCGATACCATTTTATTAATGACTTTAATAATGGATGATTATCAAGAAATTCATCAGTTATATAGTTTGAATAATTTTCAGTATTTTCATTTGGTGCTAATTCTTGTTTTTGTTTTAATGCTTTATTCAATAGATTTATAAAATATGAAAAACTGCTTTGAATACCTGGCTTCACAATAAATTGTCCTGTCTTAGATTTAAAACACGATTCAAGTTTAATAGCATCAGTTTCTTCTGAATCATATTGAAAAAATGCAAATATATCAGGAGTATTCAATAATTTGCCAACAGAGTTAATCAATTGTATTTTTAAAATCTTTGCTAATGAATCACCTGCTACTGATTTAACAACATCATAAAATTTATGACCAACACGTTCAAAAATATCTTTTGGTAAAACCGTAATGTCAAGTAGAATATCTTCATTTCGAGAACACATTTCGTTTGAATAATATGGATTATTAATCTAAAACAGCTATGAAATAGAAAGCATAACTACAAGGTTTGAAAGATAAATACTTAGCAGCTAAAAAATTGAATTTTTTTCTTTAGCTATTCGCTTAAATTATGAAGGACAATAGTAATATATTTAATCCAGCTATGATTGTAAAACCAATTCTAAATACAAAAAAATAATACTTAAATAAAAAATAATATAATGTGACTGTCAAAGTTTAAACAATAACAACAACAAAAAACGCTTTATTTTGAAGTTATTTAAATATATTCAATCAAAAGAAGTCAATTACGAACTACATAATATTGTAATGCTAACTCTTATATATTTGTCGCAGTTGGTTAGAGAATTTAGTTGAGATTGGAATCGATATAAATACAAAACTATAATCTATATCTATATTTCTAATTTATAGAGAAGAAAGTAGAATCGGTAAATGTGTAAGTAATTATTTCAGAAATAATAGATAAGTTATATTTTTGTCTGAAAGGTAAAGTAAGAACATCACTGATTTAAGATATATTATTAACTTCAAAGAAAAGTTTATATAGAATATAAGGAGAAAGTAATATGTTGCTTATTTATCTTTGTTTGATTATATACGTATTTTTTTATAAAGGGGACATGCGGGACTTTGAATTTTATTTTGAAAAAAATGAAGTTTCTTTTTTTCTTATAAATAGATAGATTTTTTTTCTAAACGGGCCATTGAAATTTGTATTAGATAAAAATAGAGAATTCCTTCTTTATTTATAAGATAGATAGATTTTTTTTCTAAACGGGACATACGGGACATTGGAATTTGTATTAGATAAAAATAGAGAATTTCTTTTTTATTTGTAAGATAGATAGATTTTCTTTCTAGGCGGGACATGAGGGACATTGAATTTTATTTTGAAAAAAATTAAAGTTTCTTTTTTTCTTATAAACAGATAGATTTATTGATCAGCGGGACATGCGGGACATTGAAATTCGTATTAGATAAAAATAGAGAATTCCTTCTTTATTTATAAGATAGATAGATTTTTTTCTAAATGGGACATGCGGGACATTGAAATTTGTATTAGATAAAAATAGAGAATTTCTTTTTTATTTGTAAGATAGGTAGATTTTCTTTCTAAGCGGGACATGCGGGACATTGAAATTCGTATTAGATAAAAATAGAAAGTTTCTTTTTTTCTTATAAATAGATAGATTTTTTTTGATCAGCGGGACATGTGGGACATTGAAATTCGTATTAGATAAAAATAGAAAATTTCTTTTATTCTTATAAATAGATAGATTTTTTTTCTAAGCGGGACATGCGGGACATTGAAATTTGTATTAGATAAAAATAGAGAATTTCTTTTTTTATTATAAATAGATAGATTTTTTTTTGATCAGCGGGACATGCGGGACATTGAAATCCGTATTAGATAAAAATAGAAAATTTCTTTTATTCTTATGAATAGATAGTTTTTTTTTCTAAGCGGGACATGCGGGACATTGAAATTTGTATTAGATAAAAATAGAGAATTTCTTTTTTTCCTATGAAATAGATAGATTTTTTTTTCTAAGCGGGACATGCGGGACATGAAATTTTTTGTTTTAGTCATATTATTCCAAAAAGGTGTTATTCATATTTATCGAGTGGATTGATTTCTTGGAGAGCAGTCGATCTGTACGATTATAACTAAAGTTAGAAGAATCGAATTTTTGATGTGAATGGTTGTTAATTATTTAGTTAAGTTTTTTTCTTATTCTTTGTTATTTGGTAGATTGTAAAAAAAACAATTTTTTTTTAAATATTAGTTGGTTTTGAAATTTTTATTTCAAAAAATAATTCTATTAAATAATTTTTATTTCATGTCAGTTTAAAATATATGAACTAAACAAAATGGTTTTATAGTGGAGAATGAATTAATTGGATAATTTAATATGATTTCTTTATTCGTTTATTCAATGATCTTCTTTTGTTATTATTTTCTTCGACAGAATAATTATGCCGTTTTTTGGGATTTTTAGCACATGTGTTAGATTTTTTTGTAGTTGTATTAGATGACGAGATATGTTTGGAATTTGTTTGATCTAAAAAGAAAGTTTATTTTAATTAATCTTTGAATGAATAAATAATGAGAAAAAGATCGATAAAATCAATTTTCTGGATAAAAAAATCTATGTTTTGTATGATGGTTATAATATGGGAATGTGTTATTCAGAAGGTTTATGTGACATTAGGTAAAAGAAATTTAAATTATTACCATTTGATTCATTCGTGTTTGAATCATTGTCAGGTAAATTGTAAATTTGTGATGAGTTGGTTGTATTAGCATCATTTTTGTATGTTAGTTGATCATTGATAGCAGAAATATTTGAATTAGTTCTTGAGATTGTTAATAATTTATTCTAAAATAATAAGTATAACAATAATTTTACATAAGAATTATACATGAGAAATGTCAAAGAATCATATATGTATGTTTTTGTGTACTCAAAAAGTGAGTACACTCTAGAATCGGTCAGTGTGTCCGGCCGTCCGTTTACACGATAACTTTTGAAAGGAGAATCAGATCGCGATGGAATTTTCTACACAGTTCAGTCTTAACAATATCTCGGTCGAGTTCGAAGATGAGAAGGATTGGCCGAGCCCTTCCTGAGTTATTGTAAAAATACTCATTTTTCCCTATGGCTTCCTATAGGAAAATCTACCTATCCCTACTTTCGTAAAACACTTTCCCTATTATAGTCAAAGATAACCTCAACTATTATACACCATTCGATAGAGAATTTCACGAGCTACAAAATGGTATATAAAACATAAAGAAAGAAGAAAGCTAGCTCACCTATTGGAAAGATAAATAAACGGAAATCGGTTCTATTTTTGGTCTGCGCTCTAATCGATCCCCAATTCGAGCTCTATCTTCCGATCACCGAGATAATACTTCGAGGTTTTCTGGGATGGAGAACTTGAATCTGTAATCCACTTGACTTGAAGCTCCATTGGTTGACCACTGACCAATAGAAATCAAATTATAGGAAAAAACGCGTTTTTTAGGATAACTCAAGGCGAAGAGTCCAAATCTGAGCTGTATTCACTGCAAAATCCTATTGGTTGAGCAGTAGCCAATAGAATTCAAGTGTTTATAGAAAGGGTTTGCCAGGCTAATTTTTATATCCACACATTGTAGGATGACCAATTTGTCTCATTCACTTTTTGAAGTACACATAACTCTCGGATTTAAATCCGAGGTTTCCACATTTATTATATTTTAATATTGAACGATTAATATTAAAAAGAAAAACAAAAGAAGTAATCTCATTACTAAACTGGAAAGTTGCGTGGTTTGACAATATTTTTTATTATGTACAAAGAAAACTACTAAGAGAATTGGAAGAAGATCATTTATATCCCATTAAAAATATTTTATACAAGCGTTTGTTTACTTGCTCATAATAAAAATTAGAAAATATTTACTTGTTGAATACTATGAATGACTGTTGATGAAGATGGAAGAATATTAGTAATAGTTGATATAGATGTTTGAGCACTAGATGTTTCATACGAATCATTTGCATTATTAATGGATAATGCTAAGTATATAAAAAACTTGATGAAATTAATTAAAGATTTTGTTGAAATCAATTACTAGAATGTGTCGGATTGATATATTGAATATTCGTTTCTTGACTAGATTGATTTGCTAGACAAGATATGTTCAATTAATATTGGTATCTGTTAAGAAGATGACATACATGATTGGTGAAATGAAATAGATGTTGGTATGGAATTAAGAGTTGGATTTATTGTATTGTGAATTACACGACTATTTGTGGTTATTAATGGATGTTGTATAACATTTGAGATATTTTTATCATTTGGATTGTCAATGGTTGTTGATGCTATGTCATGTGCATCATTCATTAAAACTTCTAAGGGAAATTAGAAAGAATATTTCTAATGATGAGGTATAAAAAAGGCCATTACTGTGTGGAACATTCTCTACGAGTGATTTTGAAGTGATATTTGATGAAGATGGTGTAGTATTAGAGTCGTTGTTTAAAGATGTTGTGTTGAATGATGTAAATGATTGATTCGATATGGATAATATGCATGCTGCATAATTAAAAAACGAATAAAAAATATGAAGATGAAAATATTGACTTACAATCTTGTGAATTTTCATGATTAATTGATGAATTATTTATGGAAGATTTTGGTAATATTTCATTTATGGTGTTGGTTAACTCATTTGTTTCATCTGATGGAATGATACCTGGAAAAGAGAAAATTGAAAGTAGAGAAAATTGATTTGAATATGAACTAATTTAATTATACTAGCTCAGGCTTTTTTTCTAATGGAAGATAAGGTGAAATAATCAATCATTATATTAAAGAAAAAATTACCATCTAAGTGCCGTTCTGGATATTTTTCTTTTAGATGTTGCAATAAAACGTTGTGTTCAGGTAATAATAATAGATCTTTGCCAGCTGATGTAAGTACTTGTTTTTCTTTTATGGTAGAGTTACAGAGAATAGTCATGTAAGTTGCTAAATTCAAGTTTAAATCATTAAGTATTTGTTCAGCTACGACAACTTTCGATGGATCATTTAAAATATTATATGATGGATAAGATTTCATATGAATAATTCCTCGAGATGTTGTTGTTACGTAGGCTATACACAAAATCATGTATAAAAAAATTATCTATACGAAGAATTTAAAATACATACGTCCTTGACGTATCAATTCATAACAGATAAGTTCATCAAGAACAGTATTGACTATTTCAGAAGGATAATGTCGAAGTAAACCCATGCTACCAGTAAGATCACGTTTCAAAAAGAATAATTGTGGAAATCGAATTATTCGTTCACGAATAGTATTTATATTTGAATGAACTAATGAATATTTATATTAGTAGAAAAAAGTGAATGAAAGCATGAATTTACTAGAAATTGATTGAATATTAGTTGATCTTTCTTCAGGCATAATTATTGGTTCCGTGTTATATAAAGTAAATAATGTTTTAAGTAAATGACTGCACAAAAGAGTTCCAGCTAATCGACAACTAGACGAATCGATTTCCATAACGATATTTGTAGATTTATACTTTGTTTCGATTATTTGAGTAACATTACGAATAAAATTGAAACTCAAATCAACACAAATGAGCTGTTTTTGATCTTGAAGAATTCTATTAATTAAAAGAAAAAAGTCATTATAAAATTGTTCTCTTGAAGATAAGATTTGAATTAAAGTTTACTTTAGAATATCCATTGAAATTTTAAGTATTTGACATACAGCAACTAATTTACATAATATTTCAGCGGACTTTCCCATACGAGATCCATAATTAACATCATTTGGTTTTTCAATTTGAGATAATTCTTGATATTGACGTATTTTATTATAAAATTTCTTTGTTCCATTTCGACTTAAGATAAATTTACGTTTTCCAATTAATCGACAAATAATTAAAATTTGAGATAAAGTTGGAAGATTATGATTTGAATTTTGTTCTGTTTCATAATCGTCATCACTGATATCATCATCATATTCATCGTCATCATTATCATCATTGTCAATTTGATCATATTCAATTGATTGTGATAAATTCAAATTCACTTCGTTTTTTTTTGGCATTACATAATGCAAGAATCTTAAAATGAAAATGGTGGATGTAATTTAAGACGGTATAATTTAAATATTTATAGAACAATTGGGAAATTATTCGAAAAGAAACAAAATCTGATAGAACGATTCATTCTTTCTTCAATAAAGTATTTTATCTTTCATTATTTACTATAGAAATATTGATTTTTATCGATTCAATAAATAAAAGATGAATATCGATCTCAACATGTGTATAGGATCAAGATGAGTTAATTAGTTAGCTAATCATTAATCTATCTGTTTGATTAATTGTTGTGTTTCAATAGAGGTTTCTTATGAATGAATCCCATAATGAATTTTGATTTTTGAATAATTTTATGTGAGAAATTTTTTCTTTCTTGAATACGAAAAACAAAATAGTTATAAATACCGTTCGGAAAATCCATCGCTTTGATAGCCTTGTCCATAAAAATGTATCAATCGATGCCATAATCGTCCAGTTGTTGCACCAACGAAAGATAAATGTGAATTAATTTCTAAATGATAGCTCATCGTATCTTTGCTCGTTGGTATTGAACCAAAAAATTTACATCCAGCAATACGGTCTCCAGCACTAATTTCTGATAATGGTGAGTAAAAACCTAATGAAAGAAGCGGCTTTTCAGCTTCATCTGTTAGAATAAATACATTGGTTTTAGCTAGTTTTGCTAAAAGTGAAGCATTCGTAAAATCATCCATGATTCCGGCATCATCTTTAGAAATTCCCAAGGCTTTAATCGTATCAATTATAGCTTTTTTAATTGGACTAATAATTTTTGATTTTCCAGTATCTATACAAACAGAAGACATTTTTATGTCGTTTTCTTCTATAAAAATCTACCTGATGGACCTATTAATAACAGAAAAAGATTCAATTTCGATATATGATTAGTAATTTTAACTGTTGATTCAGCACAAAGGTGCCCGACAGAAACTAGTAAACTTAAAAATAATCCAATTGGATCTATACCATTTAATTTTTCAAAATGATTTAATATTTGATATAGTAATTGCATTGGACCATCCATGATGGATTCCAAATTGATATGAATATTTCTTGCATTGGATAAATTTCGTTGCCATATGGCATTATTTATTGAGTCTTGATTTTTACTGTTCTTGATTGACATTGTATAGAAATTGCATGAAATTCAACTTGTTGTTTTACAATCTGAAATGATTTGATTGCTTGCTTTTTATGAATAAATGCCGTAACTAATTAAAAACGGTGGGAAAAACTTAGGTTTTAATCGATTTTTCTTCTTTTCTATTTACGTAATGATTCTGAAAAAGAGCAAGGATAGTTGTAGTTTAATTCTTATGGTCATATTGAGAATGTTTTTTATCAACATATTTTTATCATGTAGAATCAATAGAAATAAAAGACATCGATTTTTTCAATATTTATTCACAATTAAATTTAGTAAAAAGCAAACTTTATTCAATTTTATGCCAAAATAAATTCGTATGTTTACAATCTGGATCTTTGCAGCGAATAGTAAATGTCCGATTATTTATGTCAATAAAAATTGCAGTCGTGTTTCTTTTATGATGTCTATTTATAAAAGGACAAAATCTATATTCACCTCCTATGTTAAAAAATATCACATCCGAATTACGATTACCATGAACGTATGATCGAATATAGCCTAAATGAGACGGATCACTTGTAATTAGCTTTTCTACAAATGATTTAAATTTTTCTATAGTTGTGTCCAATAAATCAGTTTTAGTAGGTCTTGTAATAGATGAAGAAAAATTTGATCTATCACGATTAGATCTATTTGTATAGTTTGTTGAACTGGGATAAAAATTTTTTATATGATGATTGAGTTTATTTATATTAATCAATTCACAAGTTTGAAATATTGATTTATCAACAATATCTAGTTCTTCATATACAAATTGATTATCTTTTTCCGATAATATAAATACATTGGTTTTTTCATGATACGTTAATAACGAGTTTTTCAATATTTCATTATATGAATATTTAACGGATTGAGCAGATGTTAAAGAAAGACTTTGAATTAATGCATTTCCTTTTTGTTTTTTTACACAATCAAATAAACGAAATTGTTGATTTTTTGAATAAACACCTAAATCAATAGCCAAAGTATATTGATTTTCTTTATTTAAAACTAAAAGATAGGCAACTTCTGCAACCGTAAGAAATTTCGAATATATATAGCATTCTCTACAAGATGTACGTAATAGATTAACATATTTTCCTAATAAATCGATTAAACTTGGGATGGTACATTTTTCTAATGATTGAGTAATATGGAACGATATACATTTATGTTTGATAATCATCCAAAGAAAAAAATGAATTGTAACTTTAAAAAACAAGCCGAAAGTTTGATTGTTATCAAAAAGAATGTTTTCATTTATATGAATAAAATGGTATGATATTTTTTGTGAAGTCGATCTAAAAATAAGAATTTTTATAAATAATTCATAACAAAAATTACAAACGAAAGGATACATTTACAATACATAGAAAAAAATATTTATTCAACAACAGTGTTTTTTTCAATAGGATATTTACAGTGGTTTGCAAAAAAACTTGGCCTCATTTATTTCAAATAGTACTTTGGCAAAACTCATTTATTTCTGTTGGTTCCAAATTGGCTAGGTAGCTCACAAAGAACACTACGTATTAGTGTATATAGATTTATTTTGCATCCATGCTGGAAAGAAAAATGAAGCAAGTAAGTATTTCAATTGGAAGGTACAAAAAGCAATTACACGTTTTTTAGAGATTGTTTTTCGTTTTTTATCTATTTATTTCATTGAGAATAATTCAAAATGAGTTCAATAAGTTTCCCTCAAAATGAACATCGATTTTAACAAGCTCTCATACTTTTAAAATTGGATTTAAAGGCAGTCAATTTTTGCATAGATTGAAATTTTTTTGAGAATTCTCGCCTATTTCAATCCCTATTCTAAAAGCAGTTCTGCAAATTTTGAGTCTCCATAATGGAATAGTTACTTGACATTGCCTTCTAGTTCTTACAATCGTCCATTCAAGTTCATCACGAGACTGCTCTATTATAGTGTAATCTTTTTGGGACCTTCCAATTGTAGGAGTTCCGTCCTTTAGTTTTCTGGTGAGCGCGAATGGAAAATAAATCAAAGTATACCTACGCGTAGTACTCTTTGTGGGCTATCCAACCATGCTTGAAACTACTCGAAATCAAAGAATCTCACGGCCGCAGGACTGAAAATATGAGGCCAAGTTTTTTTTACAAACCACTATATATTGGTAATGAGAAGTATATGAAAAAAATACTTTCATTTGAGATATTCAAATTAAAATTTGAATATAACTTACGCTTCCAAAACAAGGAATTTTTGAAAGATAAAATCAATATTAATATTTTGATTATAATTAAATTTTTCGTCGAAATTTAATAATAAATGAAGTATTTTAAGACAACAAATTGGTCCAATACGACAATCATCAGTATCAGGATTACAATTAATATACACTCTAAAAAAAATCGGTTTTTTACCGAACCCCCAAAAAAGGTTCCGGAGATGTCTAAAAGCGTCCAAAGATGTCCAAAGTCTCAAAAAAAGGATAAAAAAATCTACGAAACCTTTAAAGGTTCTTACCGTGTACCGAGGATAAGAACCTTTTGCTGCGAAACCTTTTTTTAAGTTCCGTACAGCAGAAAAAGGTTTCGTAGGAAAATACGAAACCTTTAGAGTTTCGTATTAAACCCTAATAGTTTCGTACTAAACTCTCATGATTTTGTACTAAACCCTCACGATTTCGTAGAGTTTAATACGAAACTCTAAAGGTTTCGTATTTTCCTACGAAACCTTTTTCTGCTGTACGGAACTTAAAAAAAGGTTTCGCAGCAAAAGGTTCTTATCCTCGGTACACGGTAAGAACCTTTAAAGGTTTCGTAGATTTTTTTATCCTTTTTTTGAGACTTTGGACATCTTTCGATGCTTTTAGACATCTCCGGAACCTTTTTGGGGGGTTCGGTAAAAAACCGATTTTTTTTAGAGTGTAATATTCAAAATCGATATATGCTTTCACATGTTGTTCAGAACAAATTAATTCATAAATAAAACGTTCAGATACTGGACAAGATTGATACACATTAATCAGTTCATCTAATGTTAAATAACAAAATCGACGACTATTAGTATCTGTTTCAATACTTATATAAATATATTTATTATTGGATTTATCATTTGATAAATTGTCAAGTAAATCAGATATTCAATGAGTGATGATTTTATTCGGATAAAGACGTTTAATTAATTTTTCAACAAAAGTCATATTGATACTTAAACTTTTAAAACAGAAATCAGACTATCTATTGCGCTTAATTTTTTCTTGTCGGTTACACTAATATAGAAATATTAGTTTGATATAAATAATGTAAATTAAATTGCCACATGTTTCATGTTCCAAAAAAAATCATTACTGTATAAAAGAAATTTTAAATAAGTTGTTTTTCTAATGCAATTTCCCTCAAACAATCAAATAATTTTGTAAAGAATACAAATATTCTTATTTGTTTTAATTTATTTATAAATTAATTACTTTTATGTATTTATTCGAATAATTAAGGAATATTACTCAATTAATTAAGGATATGATCATTTTTACTCTTGGTATATTAATTATTAAATAAAAATAAAGAATAACGTTATGATCTTTGATTTTGTATCACGTTTCATTTATTGAGATTATGTAGAAAAAAAAAGCCATACTTAGAATATTGACAATCTCATGATAGATCGATTACAATCCAAACTCTTATAGATGGATCTTCTTATCTTCTTAAATATTCAATCAATTATAATAACTACATTTTTTTTTTCTTTATACCTTTTCCTATCAATAAATTCACGAAGAAATATTTTCTTCTTTATGATTACTTATTAAATAAATTAAATTGAAATAAATAATAAAATCAAACACCACGTTAAACATTTATTCGTGATCAACAATAACATTCGATTGAACTGATAAGTCCCAAGGAAAATAAAATGCAAAATTATTTATTTATTTATTTATTTTTAAATAGAATTCAAGATTAAATACGAATTATGTATTCATTTTATCGAATTAATTTGGCAGCACTTTCATTTGTGTATTAGCTAAGCTAACCAAAAATCGTGTACCTAAAGAAAAACAAAAAAATAAGCTACTAGTCATAACAATAAGAATAATGAGCTTCTTGCGTTCTGTTCAACAATAGAATGCTATTTGATTTATTTTATTACATACCATCAAACCATGATATTTTTACATTTTTAAATTTAATTCGATGATTAATCATAGTTTTTTTCACAAGACGAGCCTAAGAAAACATATCATTATGTGGAATTGATAAATAAATGTTAGTTTTTTATCTTACTTGTTCATTCCATAATGTCATACCAATATGAGATCCATCTTGATCAACATGTATATCACGTCGACTCCATATTGTTTCATTTTTTGTACCAGTTGAAATACCAAAATCACGTAAAACACGAACTTCAACATCTAAAAGAGTTTAACATTGAAATTATATCATGTGTATAGATTTTTTCTTCTATTAAATGAAGTGAGAAAGGTAACCATAAATTTATTCATATTTTTATTTTCTTTTTACCAGAATTGATTATGTGTTTTGGTTGCAACATATGATGTTTGATATGATATTAGAAAACTAACGGGTGCGCCATAAAGAATGAGGGTTTCATTAATTTTTGAATAACTCCGTCAGTTTTCGTCAGATCGAGCTAAACCTTTTTTTAAAAGATGCGCCGTTAAATTCTCTACAAGAATATGTATAAACAAATTTTGTAGGAACAAAACCAGCGAGGTTATGGACGGTACACTAAATTAAATTTGACACCGTGACTTTCAAAACGAAGTTTGCGACTTTTTGAGCAGCATTTTTACGAAATGCACAAGCAGATAACCAATCAAGTTTTGCGTTTTCCCAGTGCTTTGAAATGTGCTCTTTTCGATACACATCAAAAATTTGCAACTTTTTCTTTACCAGTACATCAAAACTTGATATTGTGAAGATGACGAAAATTTTGATGTTTCTCAACTTCCGATGCGATCTACGAAGACAAACAATTTCTTACAAATTGGAAAAAAAAGTTAAGTGAATAGCTAAGACAATGAACTTTTAAACAAAAAAAATTTTATAGAGAAAGGATAAGTTTTGGCTGAGTAATAAACGTTTTTCTGGAAGTGCTGAAAAAATGTCCAAAAATAGCTGTTTTTTCAAAGAAACTCAAATTTTAAACACGTTGATGCTGAGTCATTCTTAGTTAAATATTTTTTTTTTAAAACATCGTTTTTAACGCAGAATTTCGCGCTCTTTCTTATGGTGGTCTCAGATTTTTACTACTGCACCTCACAACGAAGGAATTCAAAAAAACCTGTTTTTTGCCCTTTGAAAGTTGAGGTATCAAAGTTAGTTTAGTATATCCTTCATAACTTCGCCGGTTGTGATTCTGAAAAATTTGTTTAGACATATTCTTGTAGAGAATTTAACAGCGCATCTTTTAAAAAAAGGTTTAGCTCGATCCGACGAAAACTGACGGAGTTATTTAGAAATTCATAAAACCCTCATTCTTTATGGCGCACTCGTTATTTGTGTATCGTGACACTGTCATCATCTACTCTAATTCAATTCTTTTTATCAATCCTGACTTCTATTCAATGAAAAATCTATCACCTTTTCCTTCGAATCAATGGAGAATATGTGTCATACTAATAATAATTCTAATATCAAATAATCACCACAAATAATTGCCAATTTATGAAAATATTTCTTTTGTTAAACAAATATTAAATCTTACCAATTATGGAATTCAATGGAAGGCTATTGATTTGGTTTAGTGGTGTGAAATTATATGTGTTTTGTTCAAGAACAAATGGTGAATCTATTTCACGTACACGTGTTCCATTTGTACATGTCAATTGAAAAGGATGTGGCAACGTTTTGTAAATATCCACTGCAGATTTAATTGTTAAATTTGTAAATTCATATGCCTATAAAAGAAATGACAAAAACACTGATTAATTTCGATTTTTTTTCTGTACTTGATTCTTTTTCAATTTATCAGCCATTATATGGGAATTTAAATTGAAAGCCACCAATGTAATTGAACCTGATTGATCAGTTAAATCCCAATTTGAAATTTCTCCAGTACCATGTCCATTTGTAAAAATTCGTTTAGAATAAATACAGGTAACAAATGCAAGAATTTTCCATCTATATTGGAATAAAAGCAAAAATAAAAATCAAGAACCGAAAATTTTCTCCTAGGACATATGTCAACTTATTTGTTAACAAAGACTCAATTGATTTTAATCATAAAGCCATACACATATATTAAATACTTACAGAAATGTAATATTGGTATTGATATCATTGATATTAATCAAAGTTGGTTCAACTGCTAAAAAATAAAATAAACATAAGAAAAAAAGAATTTCAAAATGCCATCTATCTGAAGTGAGATTGGGTATTATCGACTCAATTAAAATTTGTTTATGTTCAATTGATTCAATTTAATTGAATTAATTCATACTGCAAAGTTCAAATCAGTAAAAGAAGATGTATCGGAAATATTTATTTTGTTTCATGAAGAAGAATGAATCGTTTTGTCAATATAAATTCAAAATCTTAATAGTATTTATAATAACTTACTTGTTGGTATAGCAGTTTGAGATATATTTGTATCTTCTTCCTTATCATTATGATCATCTTCTTCTTCTACTGTATTATGCAAACTATTATCAGTTCTAGAACAACAATAAAATAATGTTAATTAGTGATGAACAAAGATGAAAATTAATGCAATTTACGTTGTTACAGAAATACCATCAACTATTTGTTCCAGTGTATGAGAAATTTCATCGTCCATATTAATTTGAGTATCTGAAATAAATGATGAATGTAAATAAATCAAAAATTTGTTGGATGTAGTAATTGAGTATACAATCTAGTTAACTGAATGTAATAAATGCTATCCTAAATCTTTTTATATTTAATCTTCTATCTCTTGATAATATTTCGAGCAGTAGGGTTGTTGTTTTGGGAACGAAAATTTCTAACTCGTTATTAAATATTAGATAATACTAATAAATATTTTTTTGTATCGAATAAATAGCCATATATGACGATACATCAGGTAAAAAAAGTCGATTTTTATTTAAGATGACCGTAAATGCTGTGCCGATAAGTGATATAAAAGTAAGTTTTCGGATCAGTTCGTTTTAAGTCAGATAAAAAGTTTATGGAATATGTGTTGGAATTGACGAATAAATTTATGATGCATGAAAGAAGTAACAGATAAGGTATTACATTAAGAAGAATTAGTTGAAGTGTGAAATAACTCAACGAAACTAATCAAATGAGAAAAAAAAGATTTTAAAAATGGCTCGAAACTAAATTAAATCAATTGATGTTTTTTATTCTAATCAAGAGAGAAGAAAAAAAAAGAGGAAAAGCGAATTGGAAAAGTTGATAATTTTTGACAATATTTAATGAAAAAAAGTTCCAATGTATAATTTAATTTAATGAAACAATCAGATTGAATAGGAGGAAGATTGATGAAATATTTCATAAATATTTTGTTTTTGTATTAATACGATCCGCATGAGTTTTGAAAAGCAATGTGTTATACAAATAAATTGGTTATTGAGCCAAGTTATGATCCTAGGAAGTGAGCCAAAGTTTATTCAGTCGACGTTTTCATTATGAAACACCCCAATAGTATCCACTGAGGCTTATGTAAAGTGTAATTTGGTTCGCAGCCTAACTAGCCGTAAGCTTAAAGCGTCTGTGTGAAGTTGTTTTTATACTGTAAACGTCAACTGAATAAACCTTGGCTCACGAAAAGGTTGGCTTATTTCGCAGGACCCTAAGTCATTTAATTATATGAAATATTTTGTGTACAGTTATTTCTGATGTTTAAAAGATTACATTATTCTTTTTCAACATTGTTTACTGCATATATAATAAAAAAGAAAAATATCTGAAAGAATTTACGATTGAAAACAATACTTATTTGTTGAATTGTTTGTTCATAGGTTTCTTTATACATTAAAAAAAAATGAATATCATATTATTTTGTTCTAGTTTATCAAAACGAAGTGAAAAGTATATTCCTTTAAGATACGAAAGTAAAATATCTAATATTGATTTTTTATTATCTTACATAGATTGAACTATTATGAGTAGTATAGATCTGAGTTTATGATAGAAAGCTTTCAATATGATGTAAAAACGTATTTTTATCTAATGATAAAGTGAGTCTTTTCTATAACTTGGTAATTTATTTGCATGGAAAATTCATTTTGTCTCAAATATTTTCTGAAAGGAATTGTTAAATAAATTTGTTATGCAAGCGATAAGATTTATTTTTTAGGTATTCGAATATTTTTAACAAGACATTGAAATGAAAGAATCAAATATTGTTTTTACATGAAATAGCTTTACCACGATGACATTTAGTACAACATTTGATAAGCCTTTTTTTACACGGACAACGATTACTCTCACAAGATCCTATACATTTGCAAGGTCTATTTGTTTTAAATTTAGTGAATATTTGACAAGCTTGAATAAATGTAATATTTGCTAATTGAGTTATATCTGTTTTACGTAAATCAGATGAGACGGTTTGAGTCAAATCCATAAATTCAGATGATGAAAATAATTCACTAATAATACCATCTTGTGTAGCTAATTTATAAAATACATTAATAGGATCATCCTTTTTAATTATTTCAATAATTTTGCAAGGTAAAATAGATGGTGCTGTATTTGACCGATCAACATCTGCTATTTTCAAACCAATAATATCATTTATTTCGAAAGATTTTTGTTTTTTCAATGCACGTTCATAAATTTTCAATTGACGTTCTAAAATTTATATCAATATGCTTTTAGAGTATCAATCAATTAAACAAAAATTCAAACATCATACCTACTGTATGAATGTAATTTTTTTCAGCTTCATCTCGAATTCGTTTATGTGATGTTTCTGTCAATTCTCTAATGTAAAATAAAAAAATGGATCTTCAATTACATATAAAAGGCTTAGTTATTTACTTAACAGGTAAAATCATATGTGAATCAATAGATGATATACATGTTGAAGTTTCATCAGAAATTTGGCTTTGATCATTTATATTAGTCTAAATAAAACAAAAAGAATCAGACATATAGAGGAAGAACTTGAAATTTTACAGAAACTGAAGTAGTAACAGTATTTAATTTTTGAAGAAATGAACCAGGTAAATCTTCTTCATTAACAATTGAATCATTTGTTGATGATTCTTTATGTAATTCTAACCAAAATTCATGATCAATTCTGCATGGTTGACCGAAGACCATTTCATATGGTGTTTTCTTTGTACTTTGCGAAGTACAATTATTGATTGACAACATAACAGGTCCTTTAAAAGAAAAAACGATCAATATGGTAAAATAAAATATTTCACAACGACATATCAATTTTATTTTCTTTCATTTACCTAAACCACTTGGCCAGTCAGAAGTTTTGTTTACATCAAGCCATTTACCTAACATTTGTTGAACGACAGCATTGGCTCTTTCAACAAGACCTTGACTTTGTGGATGCCGTGCACGTCCATTAATGATTAATAATTCTGGCCAATCGTTTTTTAAGTTCAGAATTACATTGGCTCTAAAGAAAGAATGATTTAAAATCAATATAAATAATTATTTTTACACAAATTCCTTTCCATTATCCGATTGTAAAATTCTTGGTGGACCGAAAGTATAGAATATATTTTTTAAATGAAAAGCAACACCACTAGCTTCTTTTGATTTCAACGGAAATAACCAACTGAATTTCGTAAAATGGTCTTTACAATGCATTATAAAACAAAATCCATCATATACTGTGCTTCGCATATCCATTAAATCGACCTGTAATCTAGTTAAAAAACCTAATGAAACAATTGGCTTTCCAGCTGGTTGTTTATGAAATGATCGTCGTACTTGGCAAACATCGCACATATTAATGAATATAATAACAGCTTGTTGAGGTATTCCAGCATATCTTTTTTTTACCTATTTACGACGAAATATATAAATAAAAGTCAAAATAGGTGTATTAACCTCGTTCCAGGTTTTATCTCGACCAGAATGGCCGACGGTCATGTGACAATTATTAATTTTCTCATACATGTTTTCTTGTGTTATCAATGGCAAATTAGATTTTTTATTATATATTGAATTGGTTGATCCGATTTTCATTAAACAAAATGTATGTCGAACCCAG